GGTAAAATGAGGACCCAGATTGTTGGGGGCAATATGCTGACTCTCTGTAAACCACTTAGAGAGGGCTGAAAGCCCTATGAAGCGGTATATAAGTCTACTGCTATTGCTATTGCTATGTCATCTAACCATGGTTCTAAAAACTAGGGACTCAGTTTTAGTCTCATTTGACGAAGAAGATAGCCATATAAATTTTAAAAAAGAAATACAAGTAAATGAAGAACAACTCCTGTAAGGTTGACCGCCTTGGTTAGTAAGGAAGTTTTTCCTATGCATCTTACCTGGGAGACTATTTTAGGTTACTTTAAAAGAGGAGCAGCTTTGCAATGTTTTATGTAGTCTTGAAGAAATCTTTGTAGACTTTACCAGCCATGAGTTTCCTTCTTCATCACAGTTTTATTATATTTTTATAACTCTAATAGAATAAAACTGTAATAAGTCTTTGAAAACAATTTTTATTCTAAAAGTTAATATACATTAAATTATGGATACATGAGGTACATAGGAATCAGTGTTAACATAGCCATGAGAAGGAACCCATTGGTTTTCATTTAATGCTTAAATCATTTCTTAATTCCATCCCTGTAGACTTTCCACCTCTCCATCCCTCCAAAAAGTTCCTTATTGAAATGAGATATTCCAAAAGCAAAAGGGATGAACTAAGTGAATAATCTGTCAGCAGTTGTATCTCCTGCAATCTTTCGCAACAAGTTAGAGTGTATATAATTATCTAAGTGAAGGCCAAAGGCTCTTTCATTAATGTTCATCTTGACCTATGGTTTCTATGGATGATTTGTCATTGCTTACTTTTCTGCTTAGTCGCTGCCAGAGTCGAAATGTGTGGAAAGTTGTCAGCCTGGATTTGTCAAAAGGGCTCGAGAAGGAGAACTAACTTGCTGCTATGACTGCATTCCTTGTCCGGATGGGACCATCTCCACTCAGGAAGGTGGGTAACGCCAAAGAAAAGAGCAGGTCTTATGGAATTGGATTCATCCAGATCAGAGGTGGTATTCTGCTGGTTCAGACAGGTTTGTGCATACAGTAACAGAAATTTTTACTGGTTCGCTGAAACAGTAAATAAGGCTTCTGGCTTGCCCCACTACTGCCTGCCTGGTCAACTGGTTGCTACTCACCCATGACCGCCTGGTCGCCACTCATCCCACCTGCCCGCTCACCAGTTCACCCTGCCCTGCCCAGTCAAAGCACATTGTGTGCCATTCACTTGTGCATGCACAGTCTATGCTCTGCGGCTTGCTTGCCTAAGCTGCCTTCTCACACAGTGCCTGTGCCTCAATGGAGCTGCCTCTTCCTACCTACAGGCAAGCCTGCAAGCCACGCTAGCTGCCCTACCATCCCCAGACCCTGCCACGTCCCCTCCCATTGTTTCCAGGCTCACATAGCTTGTGAAGCCACCAGTGCTGCTATATTGCAGGCCTTGTGGCTGCAACCTAGCCAGCTTCCCCCCATCACTGTTCACTTCAGCCAGGTCAGGGAACATGCCATTCGGCTTTGGCCTTGTCCTAGGCCTCCGTCTGCATGCCGCCTTACTCACCTACCTTCACGCCTTGGTGGGGATGGAAACAGGATGAAGCTCGACTACATTTTGCACCGAGAAGTCTCCAGTCACCAGTCAGTAGTTTTTGGCTGCCTTCAGAGCAGTTAGCAATAGCAATAGCAATAGCAATAGCAGATAAAATTATATACCGCTTCATAGGGCTTTTAGCCCTCTCTAAGCGGTTTACAGAGTCAGCATATCACCCCCACAGTCTTGGTCCTCATTTCACCCACCTCGGAAGGATGCAAGGCTGAGTCAACCTTGAGCCGGTGAGATTTGAACAGCCGAACTGCAGATAACAGTCAGCTGAAGTGGCTTGCAGTACTGCACGCTAACCACTGCGCCACCTCGGTTCCGATGTGGCACTATTCCTCCAGCACAGCAGGCTTTTCTCCTGGCTGCTGTGGCTGTGAGTGGCACCGGTAGGCAATTGAGTTCGCCATGCGCACCCAGTGTAAAGAACAGGGTGGCAATGGCGGTGGTAGTCACGGATTTTACTTTAGGTCAAAAAAGAGGCCTGAAGTGAAGTCCTGTGACTGCTGCTGCTGCCTTTTACTTGCACCAGCCATGCATGCACACAGCGCACCCCATTGCCTACCAGTGTTGTTCATGGCCACACTGGCCAGGAGAACAGCTTGCTGCGCCAGAGGGACAACATCGCAGTGGGGCTGCTTGGAAGGCAGCTGCTGCTGTCTGTTAAGGTACTTTGACGTGTAGGGGAGGGGGGACTGTACAGGGGAAGGCAGGCTGCAGGAGCTGCCTTCCAAGCAGCTCGACTGTGAAGCAAGGCAGAAAAGTTCAGCTTCTCTCTGGCACAGTATTTAACCTGGCTGCTTCTTTCCTCCTTCTTGGCCTCATACACACAGAGCAAACATGAGGAGGAGGAGAGAAGCATCCAGGTTGAATGCTAGAATTTTCTGCCGGATTGGTGGGCGTTGGCTTGGTGGGTGTGGCTTGGTGGGTGTCTTGTGACTGAGTGGGCCTGGTCAACTCAATGTCACTCACAACAAGGTGCCACCCACTAAGCCATGCCCACCAATCCATGCCCACAGAACCGGTAGGAAAATAATTTGAATACCACCACTGATCCAGAACATTTTTATAGAAATATGTTAAAACACAGATAGAAGCACAATGTTTTCTTTTTTTCTTTTGGAACTGCACAATTTCTTACCTAATGGGAAAAACAGCAAAATGATCTTGAAAGAGGGTCTGGGATGAGATAAGAGTGTTTGCCATTATTGCCCAACCTGTATTACTGCCAGATAAAATATCTGTCCTCTTTTGTTTTCATTTTTGTTTGGATGTTTCCCTCTATATTTTAACTTCTAGGAACATCAGATTTCTTTATTTTAGGATAATTATTGAAAAGATTATTGCTATATATTTTATTCGAGCCTCTCAAAGTAGATCACTGGAATACCTCATTCCACCCATATTACCATTTCTCCCATTAGCCATTCCAGATTATCTCCATGACTTGAGCTTTCTCTACCCATTTCCAAGAGTTCACAAGATGCACATAATCTGAGTTCATTATATTAAAACATCCCATCCTGCAGTACTCAGGAAGTGTGTCTAGAAACATGAGCTGATCTATTATTAACATCTAATACTGTAGGTTCCTAGGGAAGTTCTGAACACTTCAGAGGAAATGAGAATGGATGGATGGATTGGATGGATGGATGGATGGATGGATGGATGGATTGGATGAATGGATCGAATGGATGGACAGACAATTATGTTCTTCAGAATTCATAATTTTACTTCAAATATTAACCAATGCTTCTTTGAAAATGCTCATGGCTGTTGCTTCAGGAATGTATTTCTTGCCATTTAAAAGGACAGAATGTTGAAGAAATGTTGCTTTGTGGTTTTCTCAGATATGGAAAAATGCACCAAATGTCCTGATGATAAATATCCAAATGAGGACCGGGTGCTCTGTATCCTCAAAGTTATATCCTTCCTGCTGTATGAAGAATATCTGGGCATCATCCTGTTCTCTTTTCCCCTCCTCTTGTTCTTAACAACAGGATTTGTGTTAATCATATTTATTAAACACCGGGAAACACACATTGTGAAAGCCAACAATCGTGATCTCTCTTACATCCTCCTGGTCTCCCTCCTGCTTTGTTTCTTGTCTCCCTTTCTCTTCATTGGTCAACCAAGGAAAGCCACTTGCCTTTTCCGACAAATGGTTTTCAGCATGATCTTCTCAATTGCCATTTCTTCTCTCTTGGCCAAGACATTCACAGTGGTGCTGGCTTTCCTGGCCACAAAACCAGGAAACCGAGTGAAGAGATGGTTAGGGAAGAGTTTGGCCAACTCCATCATTCTTGCTTGTTCTGCTGTCCAAATTATCATCTGCTCCATCTGGCTTGGAGTTTCTCCTCCATTCCCTGACTCTGACTTCCATTCCCAGCCTGGAACGATCATACTGCAATGCAATGAAGGTTCTGTTGTCATGTTCTACAGCACTCTCAGTTACATGGGAATCCTGGCTGCCATCTGCTTCACAATGGCTTTCCTGGCTAGGGATCTTCCTGGAACCTTCAATGAAGCCAAGCTTATCACCTTCAGCATGCTGGTCTTCTGCAGTGTCTGGGTGAGTTTTGTGCCCACTTATCTGAGCACCAAAGGGAAATACATGGTGGCTGTTCAAATCTTCTCCATCCTAGCCTCCAGTGCTGGGTTGCTTGGCTGCATCTTCATCCCTAAGTGCTACATTATCATTCTGAGGCGAGACCTGAATACAAAAGAGCAACTTACTACCAGAAGAAATGTTGAAATGTGAAACAGAGGAATTTTGACTTTCCGTACTTTCCAACAGGCCAAACCTAGAAAATGGTTCAAGTTGTTATCAATATGCGAGTTGGCCAATGATTTTGCTTGAAAAAAATTAAAGAGAGACAAAACTAGACAAAACATTAAAAAAATGAATAAAAATACCAAAAGACATTCCCCT